ATTGGGTTTTATAAATGTCTATATCCTTACCTCTGCTAGGCGAGTTTTTGTGCCCGTTTTACTTACACTGTACTTTATTGTACTTTATTTGTAACTGAACACTCTGATATCAACCAGATCAGTATCAGCTTGAGACAGTAGCCTTATCCTAGTAGCAAGATGTCTTCATAATTGTACAATTGCCAAAACTTGTGATTTTGAATTTGTTTTGTCTACTTATAATATGACACCATTTGGAGATTCCAGCGTTGTGCAGGAGACTAATAATATTTGCATTAATTTTTTAAATTATACTTAAGACATTAAATTTTTCTTGATATTATAATACTTATAGTTACAAACAATCTAGTAAGCGCCTAATGTTTTACCAGGAATATTTTTAATAATGATTTTTTGCAGACTTTATAAATGTAGAGTAGCCCAGTGGCGTAGTGGATAAGGGCCGCGGCCCGCGATCGTTGTCGTTAAACAACTTTCGCTAGGGTCGGTCACGGGATGGGCGACCAAAAAAAAAAAATTATCTCGAGCTACTCCATGCTTCGGAAGGCACGTTAAGCTGTTGGTCCCGGCTGCATTTGCAGTCGTTAATACCCTCCAATCCGCGTTGGGCCAGCGTGGAGGGTCTTGGCCCATCCTCCTTAACCATCCATAAGGAAGGCCTGAGCCCCTGCAGTGGGGACGAAAAAGGGCTGATGATGATGATGATGATCAATGTAGGTCGAAGTCAATTTATTCATAAATCTATCAGTCTAAACGTACGTTGCGCAAACGTCCATCAAAGTTTTATGACGCTCTAAATAATGTTAAATAAGTATCGGTAATGTCGCTGAAAAACTAACAAGAATTTTAATGGACGTCTGTGCAACCGGCTGCGATACCTTTAAACGTATGATTTTCATGATATTTACTATGCAGGGAGTTTCAGGAGCGGTAAATCGATCTAAAACAAAAAAATACAAAGAAAGGTCGGTCATACTAATAATAATCTTAATAAACCAGTGGCCGATTGTTTTTGATACATACAACATTAATCTACAATCTTACTCGCTTAAGAGTGCGTTTACAATAAATTAGGGAATCTAAATAATTAATTTTCAACTAAATTTGCAAAGAAAATTCATCAAAATAAACTGTTAATAAAAATAAGGGAACTACATTTCTAAAGGTTATTTCAAAACGAAAATATGAATTTATAAATTTTTGTCGATAAAAAAGTTACTCCTAATACCAAGATTCACATTTTTCTCCATCTATTGTTCTATTTTCACCCTTTTTTATAAGGAAAAATGATAATAATTTGGTTGCACTTTTACAACGATTTTAACAGTTTGCGAGTACTATTAATTATGCAAATATATTTGAAATTCTGCCCTAAATACATTATAGATCTGCCTAGATGACCTATGCAAATATTAATAGGGGGTTTAAATATCCGGGAATAAAATGCGTTGCATACAACACACCCTTCTTTACTGCACATGCGCATATTCTCTGGAACTAGTGATGGGACTTCATAAAATAGGTACATCTTTATTTGACCACAGCAATCGATTAACGAGTACTGTAATTTAAAAATTATCGCTTAATAGGACCAACGGGTGTTTAGTTGTCCTAATTTATATTTTTAATCAGAACTGTTTTGAACGCAGTGAATGTTTTATTTACTTCCTTATATTTAATTTATGAGAATTCTTTATAAAAATTCATTCATCTTGCACTTATAAACACTAGTTGTTTATTTGTGCCTCGTTCTGGTTAATATTATGGACTCTTAGGTAGGCATAGTCAGAAAAGTACCTACGTTGAATCCACATCGTTTAGATGCACAGTACAGTAGGTATTAGAATGTAAAATTAAACGCGATATTAATTTCACATACCCCACCGTGAAACAAATTAGAATTTGTTTAATTAAAAAATAACTCAATTACAAAACGTTACCTACAAAGAGTTCAACATCTATTGAGTAAATTTGACATATTGTGGTAGTCTTACGTGCAGCCGTGTGTACTTAAATAATAATTTGGTAGGATAGTTGGTGCTTATGAACCCATATGATGCGAGTACATAATTAGGTACTTATACGTAAAAAAATAATTTGAGGAAACTGAAAACAACATCGCATACATGGTTTAATTCACTCATCAAATATTTCGGACTTAAAATACGCGGAACACGATATTTTGTTCAAGTATTCGATACGTAAGATGTATTCACACCACTACCGCACAAACTGCTCTATCGATTTCCGCCTCGAAAGCCTAATTTTGCTTGTTTGTTTTCAATGTGCTGCCTGGAAAATAGCGGAACGCCTATCATACCTTTTATATTTCCGACCTTATTGAAAAGTGATAGTGGTCACTTTTGTAAATCAACTTTGTGTACGTAAGGAAATTATCGGAAAATCCTCAGGGTTACATTAATTCATGCAACAATACGTCGTATCTCAACGTTTTCAGGTCTATTTTAAAATGTAATGTGTCCTGTTTCATATTTCTGGGTCTGTACGGGATTTTCAGTAAAGTTCCAGGTTAATATGTGTCTTCGGGATTCATCTCTATGAAAATGTGAGAATACTCAAACGATGAATATCAGAAATATATTTCGGATATGAAATGTGTATTTTTTTCTAAACGCTATGAAAGTTTATGACTGAAAAGTGTTCACGTTTTTTAATGATTGCAATTGTAATACAGGTGAGTTATGATATGTTTTCAAACATGTTATTGATTTTTATTACACATTTAAATAAGTATTAGGTAAGAAATCTTAAGACTTTTTACTTTTGTTGATTCCTTATAAAATGAAAGAGCCATATCTGACTTAAGGCTCTCTTGTACTCCTCAGCTTACGTTCTCATGCAAATATGCAAACAAAAACGCATCGCGAGTACAACAAATATAGTTATTAAAAAATCTTGTGTTGATTTTAGTTTACCTACACACACAAAATCGGTACACATTATTTATTGTCATGAACGTTTAAAAGATTTATTTTTCAAAAAAATATTTTATTTTCTGCTCCGATGAACAATTTTGGTTTTGCGGTTTTCTACGTGTACGCTTTATGCTTAAATAACATAAAATAATTTTTATTTGCCAAATATTAACATAGTCTCGTTAATTCGGTAAACCTTGTCTGATGTACAACTCCTTGTGTACCTTCTTAAAATCACATTCACAATTATTATTAAGAGTACTGAACGCGTGTATTAAATTACACATTTCGTAGTTCTAAACTGAAAATTGTGAACTTTAAATAATCGTAACTTTATTTGTTTTGTACTTATATCATTTTATCACCATAGTTTTTTAATTTGTCTGATTAGTAGTTAAAATCTACTTTTTTTTTAACAACGGTAGAAACTTAATATTCCGTTTTTCTGTGGACAACGATTACAAATACAACTGCGACCAACGGCTCAACGTGCCGTGCAAAGTACGGAGGAGTAAGAGATGTTAAATTTTTGTTTACCCATCCTATGACCGGCCATTGCAAGAGTTGCTTAACTTTCGCATCTCAAACATGTTAACCACTACGTCATCAAATTGGGATTTATAATATCAGCCTATCTATCGTTTTTCGCCTATCTAACCGTGACAGTCTTTGAAGGTAGCAAAGTCAGAACCACCCCAAAAAGGTTTCATGAGTCTCCTTTTAGAGAAAGGCTATTCAAGGGTGAGATCTCAGCAGACCACGCCTAACTACGCCCTTACCAATTACAAGATAATTCTGATTATCGTATTTCACACATTCTAGAGACCACAATGTCGTTGTTCCTGGTATGCATGTTGATAAGCTGTGTCTCTGGAATACCGCAAAAGCCTAACCTGGATGCTATCTTGAATCGTCGCACCGACGTCTACATCGCTGGGTTCTTTCCTTTCGGCAAAGGAGTTGAGAACTCAAATACTGGTATCTGTCATTACTATTTTATTCAGCATCAACTAATGGTCTTCATATCATTCCAAAAATTTACGGTCTAGGGAATCTCTCAGAGAAATATTTAAAGAAATAAATATTCTGACTGTTGCCTCTCAATACATCTATGAGAATATTATGTACTCAAGAAAACATTACGATTCCTTCACAAAAAAAAGTAGTGTTCATAATCTTAACACAAGAAATAAAAATAAACTTGCCGTTCCAAGCTTCAGACTTCAAAAAACCAGAGGATCATTTCTGGGTAAATGTATTGCTATGTTCAATAAAGTTCCACAAAATGTAATGTAATTTAAATAAATTTCAAATTCATGTAAAGAATATACTTATGAGTAAAGGCTATTATAAAGTTGATGATTATTTTAAGGATCGCAATGCATGGAATTGATAGCCTTCGCTTTGTTCTATAAAGACTAATTATATGTTCAATCTATGTCCTGCAGACTTTGAAAGTTGTATTTATTATTGTGATAATACATATTATTTTGGTAATGACATGATTTATGTAAATGTCATTACTTATGATAAAAAGCTGGTAAGTTTCTTTCGCTTGTTCTTCTTGTCAGCTAAAAGACGTCCTGAACAAGTGGTAGGGGAAAAAAGTTTTTAAGACGATTCAAAAGTGCTTGTAATAGCCTACTTGAATAAAGATATTTTCATTTCATTCATTTCATTTCAATGACGATTTAGGAAAATCAATATAAATATACACATACTTGTAGTTACTTACTGGTGATATCGTTGCTGCTATACAGCATTAAGCGCATTATGTATAAGTTGTTAAAAAATTCTATTAATCACTAGACAAGTAGTAAAAGTCTGCTCCTAGATTGCAACCCAAAAAACGTGTACAGTATTATAAATATTAGCAGCTTTGCAGCAGACCTGTGTGTATTGAAGGGTTGTAACGACTATACATGTGGCCCGGACCAAAAGCTTAATATGCCTTCTGATGTACCGAGAATCTTGGAATAATATATTTTGGTCATTCATCGTATGATATAGTTTCTAAATGTCAGGTACCAATGTCCTGTAAACACTGCCGTAGGTCGAGGCGTGATGCCGAGCGTAAAGCTGGCGCTGGATCACGTGAACGAGCATGAGTCAGTCCTGCGCAACTATCGACTACACATGTGGTGGAATGACACCGAGGTACAATATTTTCAGGGATATTTTAAACTATCTGTAGAGACGATACCTTTATAAAATTATCAAAAAACGATATTGATTGAATGATTCAAGTAGTAAGTCATAGCTCATAGATCCTATAGATATACAGTAAGGAGAATGGACTCTCTTTAGTACACAGCATCCAGAAGCATCTGGTCCCATCTACAGCAATTGGTCTGTTGATTGTAAAACTGATTAGGAGTTTATTTTGAAGATTGTGTAGCGTACTTGTTGGGTTGGTCCATGCACTAATAAACACCATTTACTTGTGAAAATTACTTTTATTTTTATCAAAGCTAAATTTTACAACATACCGTATCCGCAGCAGAGTTGAGAAGACATAATGAAAAAGGTAGTGTTGCCACTACCAAAAAATAAAAAAATTTTTGGTCGGGTTGCCGACAGATTGGAAGATGTTTTAGTGAATTTGATAACCTATTTTACAGTGCAACGCAGCGGTTGGTGTGAAATCTTTCTTCGACATGATGCACAGTGGGCCACACAAGCTTATGTTGTTTGGCGCTGCGTGTACACATGTCACAGATCCCATAGCTAAGGCTTCTAAACACTGGCATTTGACTCAGGTAATTTCACTTATACTAAAACTATACTATAAACCAACAACTAAGACTTTAATTAATAATCAAAGAGTTACATTTACACAAATATATTGCATGAAGCTTTGAGATCACATCTAAATATAAATTACAAGTAAAACTTGTATCACATAAACTGGAAATCGAAATGCTATTTATTATATTCTTAAATTGATAATAATCCCCAAGAGAATTTCAAAGGAAAAATCTATTACATCTTCATGTAATAGATTTTTCCTTTGAAATTCCTTTCATTATATCCAGAACAGAATTAAAGTACCATTTGAAAGAACTCGATGCTTTAATATACATGGACGGACGTGCCCCACGATTTTATTTTAGTCTAATCAATGCATAATATGTTTATTATAATATGTAATATGAACAACAGGATTTTTTAACTTTTTCATAATATCATTTCCTTGTTTTACTTGCAGCTGTCTTATGCCGACACGCACCCGATGTTCACGAAGGAAGCTTTCCCCAACTTCTTTCGGATTGTCCCCTCGGAAAACGCGTTCAATCTGCCCCGCATCCGTCTGTTGCAACACTTCAACTGGACGAGAGTCGGAACTATTTATCAGAACGAGCCAAGATATGCTTTAGTAATATTTTCTTACTATTTACCTAATATTTAAATATGAGTAGATGGGAGTAAGATGGGAGTAGTGGGTAAAATGGAAACTTCTTATAATTGAAAAAATATGTGACCTATCGCAGAGTCTGCTACACACAGAGAAACACGTAGCTAAGCTGAGCTGATAAGAAAGCACTTTCTATAGTCAGAAAATTAAAAAAGCAAGTTTTTCACATTGATTTCATGTTATGAAATTCTCCGTATGCTTCGATGTTAAGGCTTTAATACATAAAGAATTGGAATATGTAATTTATCTAATCGAAATAAAAATATTTCCAGGCCCACAATCGTCTTCTAGCCGACTTGGACTTTCACGGTTTCGACATCGAAGAAACGCAAAGTTTCGCCACGGAAGTGAGAACAGCCCTCTCCAAGCTAAAAGAGAAAGACGTCCGGATAATACTCGGCAATTTCAATGAAACTTGGGCTGTCAGGATCTTCTGTGAAGCTTACAAGTGAGCGTATATCGGATTATTTTGAAAATTTTAGGAAGAACAGCAGTGAGTTTTCAACGGTGGAGTTCGAGTCTCGATGCGAGTTCTGTAAATCACTCTGCACAAGTTCATCCCGAAGTTCGAGTCCGAATTCGCTCGCATAGATCGACTTCTGGAAATTTTATTGCTAAATGGATATTTCGTTTAAGAATATGATTTGACCTGTGACGAATCGAGAAGATCGAGTTCTGATCGCGTTGATGAATATTTTTTGATCGCTCGCACGATGCCTTTACAACGGTGACGGTAAATGATTGTGTGCGCAGATTGGAGATGTACGGACGCGCGTACACGTGGCTGCTGCTGGGCACCTACAGCAGCAGGTGGTGGCTGCGGCGCGCGCCCTGCTCCCGCCGCGAGCTGGCCGCCGCGCTCGACACCACGCTGCTCACCGACCTGCTGCCGCTCGCCACCACCGGCGAGCTCACCGTCTCCGGCATCGTCAGTACCACCACAGATACTATAACACTATACTAGTACACGTGGCCGCTGCTGGCCGCCGCGCTCGCCACCGCGCTGCTCACCGACCTCCTGCCGCTCGCCACCACCGGTCAAACAGCTAATAACACAATTGTGACTGAAATTATGATTTAAAAACTCACAGATTTCTTGTTTATTACTTTTCAAAACTAAAAAAATAACTTCTTCTTACTAACTGTTCATGGACGCTTGCGATGTTAATGATTTAAAGTAACTAAGTGTAAACATATATGTATTTCATTTCAGACAGCGAAAGATTACCAGGTCGAATACGATAGAAGAAGAGGCTCAGAATATTCTAGATTTCATGGATACACTTACGATGGTAATCCAACCATTATTAATTAGGTTTTATTAAAGCAATAAGGTTTCATTGTAAATCATCATTTATTGATTAAAATTATGATTGAAATATTTCAAGGCATTTGGGCGATGGCCTTGGCGATACAGACAGTGGCACAGAGAGTGAAGCTGAAGTACAAAGAGAAAACAGTTCAAGACTTCAGATACAGAGACAAGGAGTGGGAGCAGCTGTTTCTGGATGCGTTGAGCAACGTCACCTTCGAGGGAGTCACCGTAAGAATTACTATTATGTATCTTTAAGACTTATACTTTTGACGGTTACATGTCATAAATGTCTCCAGGACACCGCTGCCGCCGATGAAGATATAGTAGTTTGTTATGTTATAATGGATTTCCATAATTAACTGTTCTGTCAGGGTCCAGTTCGTTTCTATGATAACGAGCGTAAAGCGTCGATTCTACTGAAGCAGTTCCAAGGCGATCAAGTGGGCGAAGTCAAGGTCGGCGAGTACTGCGCTGAAAGGGACCACCTGGACCTCACCAGCGGCGAGCCATTCAAGTGGCTTGGCAAGTTAGTATGAAACTGAGCCTAACGTTACATGAGCTTTGACGATTTCTATATTACTATTAATGTGAGTTTAGTGAAGAAGATTCTTCGCATTCTATAATAATAACTAAACACATTTTAAGTCACGAACTTTCAATCAATTTTAAACTTTCTTATGTAAAACAGGAACCCACCCAAAGATCGCACGCTCCGGCTGATAGAACACACTCAGGTGAACATCACCATTTACTCCGTGCTTGTCTCCTGCTCCATCCTGGGCATACTGTTAGCCACAGGCTTCCTGGCAATGAATATACATTACAGAAATCAACGGTGAGTTCGTCAATGAATGGACCATCTAATAACTAAGATGTTTTTATTGGGGTATCCGCCGCTCGACTTACAGTTCCTTGGTACGAACATAGTTCTAACTTCAATCTACGTTTTCTTCTCACATATACGCTTCCTTTTGCATTTATAGTACTTATGTACAGCTAAAAATAAAAAAAGTATCCTCATATACTTAATATAATAAAGGTAGTGAGAAAATAAAATCTGAAAATGAATTGTCATGGATTCGTCGAGTGCCGAACAGTGGTGCCGAATAAATATACACTTTAACCCGTATTATTTATCATTTGTAAAGGTACATCAAAATGTCTTCACCACATCTCAATAATCTGATCATCATCGGCTGCATCCTCACGTATTTGAGTGTGATCTTCCTGGGTCTGGACTCCAGCCTAAGTAGCATCGGTATGTGTTCCTTGAGATCCCACCTGGCATTATATATGTGTTATTCTTACCGCAATGTCAACTATCTCTGTTTTTACTTTGTCTAAGGATGAAAGGTAACTTTACGATCTCATCATACTTAGAATCAATCATTTTAGTCTGCCAACCTTGTTTTAAAATATATTTTGATATTTTTAAAGTTTCATCTCAGTTTTAAACGTAAAATTATTTACAGACATTTCCACCACCCATTACCAAATGAATCCAGAATTGTTTTGTTATATTGAGTAATATTTTCGTCTTAACATTTTAAGACAAGGTCGACAGGTCATCCTTCGTAAATAATAAAAACTAATCTAAAAGATAAATCGTGATTCATTTTAAAATTCAAAACTAAAGCGTGCACTCTCGATCGGCATGTGTTTCGCACATCATCTATCACGCTGTGTGCCATATTATCTCATCAAATTCATTGATTCTTAGGTCTTTCTCAGGAAACGCCATACGGAGGTAACAGAGTTTGTTCCAACCCTGAAGCTTGAGCTTGTACCCTGGGCAATGTTGGATCCCGCCAACCAAACTTTGGGAACTCTTATCCAGCGCCGGATTAAACTATGCTGAGGAATTGAGGCAATCCAAACCTAGATTACTTTGTTACTGAAATTTCTATATATGTTGAAAAAAAAATTCTAGAACAAGAAATTAAATTTGACATAAGAGTTATAACCTTTCTTGACCCGTCTGATATTTCAAATTTATTACAATGAAGAGACTACATGCAAAAAATACAAATACCATAATAAGGCAACGTAGTTTTCTTTCTGAGATATTTGGAGTTGCTTTCGGTATTGATATATTGAAAGATGAAAACTTAGAAGTTACGATTGCCTTATATCTTTTGAATGTATAATCCTGCACTGTTCCAAATCCTCTCTATTAGCATAGAACCCATTTTGATTCTGAGAAAGACCTAGGCGGTTTTCTAGGTCACGCAGGAGATGGCAGCATGTTTCCAAGTTTTGGTTTGTTTCCTTTGGCTTCAATCGCGAAGCTTTTGTCTATCAATGGTATGTGGACTCATGTACTTTTTGCTTATTCATTATTTAATGCTTAGTTCATGTAGTGGTAATGCTATGCTTTAATCAAAATTATTAAAAACAGTCTTAATGAAACCTGGTAGGAAGAACCTGGGACTGGTTTTATTTGCATTTTTACATGATTGCCTTTCTTTTTTCTTTAAGATGTTTGATAGCATTGTGAATTGATTAAATATAATAATGTTTATTTTATTATTAAGCTATTTGAAATCACTTTTGATTCGCCGGCCTGCGTGATAGGCAAAAATGTTAGACGAATGAAATATAGCGTAATGGTATTTTTGACTAACAAATAGAATGGTTACCAAAACTTAAAATATTCCAACGAGTTTTCTATACTAATATTAAAAAAGACATCTTTAATTATGTCCATCATCTAATAAAATGAGCACAGATGAGAATGACTTGCAAAACAATCATAACCGAGCCATCTTTTGTGAGTGTTTTTGAACTACCTCTGGTCTTAATAGTATTCCTAAAATATTTTTTAAATCAAGTAATCTTAGGCAGTTTTTAGTGTAACACGGACAGTCTGTTTGTCTGTCTGTCTGAACTGTTAGCGCATACTCGTTTCAGTGTCATGCTGATCGCTGCGAAGTACAGACATGGCCAATCCTGTGAGTGTTTCAATTGTTTTGCGACAACGAAAAGGAAAAACACGTCATGTTCATCCACTTTTGCTCAAAGACTGCTTGTGGGTGCATTTGTGCCATTGAACAGAGTTAAAATGAATAACGATACCGAGTTCTTTAACTATTTTCGCATGTCGACAAGTAATTTTGACGTGTTAATTAATGGCAAAGTTTAATGATAAGTAACCACGTGTGCAGTTGGACTTGATTCTGGCATTTTTTGTTTTGTAAAGTGAATCGGTCCAATCAAACACTAATGCTGTGTTCATCGCCATTCCACATGACTGTACACGCTGACGATGTCCGCTTGGCTCGATACTGGAACGGATGCTCGCTGAAGGCGGAGCCGTGCGTGCGATAGTCACGCCCGTCAGCGCTGAGCGGTCGGCCTAACTATAGAACGCTTCTATATAGCCTATACACATTTTCTCGTCAGTGCCGACGGTCAGCGTGATACTAAAACCAGCCTGAAGCTTTAAGTGAATTTAAGATTTTGTTCAGTTTTTTCAAATGAAAACTGCTTCCTGGTATAAAATAAAATAAAAATGTTTCCCTGGATGCTCACGGTCAGTAGTAAAAATAATTTAAACAGTAAATTTTTATCAGTAACTATTCAGTCAAATTAATTTGTTTGCGTCATTCATTATATCAGTGTTTTGTTTGACTCACTTTTCTTTTACTTATATGTATCGTATATATGTATATCATTTATTTGCACATTGCACATTTCATTTTTGTGTATTAGTGAAAGTCCATTATAGTTTTTTTTTAATCTTGCATGTATCATTTCTAATAACTTTTTTTCTATTGAAATTAAATATTTGTGTAAAATATATTTAAAATATTTGTACAAAATATATATAATTAATGAATCCTTCTAAAACTATCGAAATGCACATCTACCAGCAGATTTAACATGGAACTCGAATAGCTTGGATTTAATTGTCATCTGATTAAATCCGCGAGGAATGTTGAGTACATTTGAATCGACCCAATGCCAGTCAAATCGCATTAAGCGGTAAGGGAGCATATTAAAAATGAAATGTTACTGAATTCTCATAAGGTTCATTTTAAAACCTCTCGTACCCTCAGGTGCGTTCCCTTACATCTGCACGGCTCGAGCTTGGCTTCTGATGGCGGGATTCAGTCTTGCTTTCGGTGCGATGTTCTCAAAGACGTGGAGAGTCCACTCCATCTTCACAGACGTAAAACTCAACAAGAAGGTGAGCAATGTTGAACATCAATACCCATCTTACCTATGTATCTATATAAAACATTGTTCATGCTTATATCAGCATGATGGATCACTAAAGAACTAAAATATTTTGTGAGTTCTACATACAAAGGTAACAAACCAAAAGGTCTGACCGCCTACTCAATCGCGCCGGCCGCCCACCCAAACATGCTACTCTTGTCTAGCACCATTACAGCATCGTCAAGAACTCTTAGATTAGGACTGCATACAAAGAGCTGCACTGCATATCTAAACTAAGAACTTGACTTCTGATATTTATGAGTAATAAAGGAATCTGAGCTTCTCCTTACTTTGTAAAGCACGTTAAGCCGTCGGTTCCAGCAGCGTCTGCCCTTGGTGGATTATTATGGCCGTTCTCTCACTGTGATTCTTTGAAATGATAGGCTTGTATCTCCAATGGGGAATTTAATAGGTTGAAGAACTTTGAAAAAGGGTTGAATCGCTTTTATCTTTTCTTCCGCTTGTTTATATGTTCACAGGTGATAAAAGACTACCAACTTTTCATGGTAGTTGGCGTACTGTTGGTTGTTGATCTCGCCATAATGACAACATGGCAGATATCGGATCCGTTTTATAGGGCTACGAAACAAATGGAACCTTACGTAAGTATAAAATATGTAGCAACAAATCTCCGAACAACGCTCGGTCAAGATACGTAAAAAGTCAGGATAACTGGCGTAGACTACTACTTTACTTTAAAAATATAAAAAAATTGAATAAGCAAACAGAAATAAACTGTACTACTAAAATGTGAAAGTCAAGATCGATTAAAATTAATAAAAATGGAGAATTTACAAGTTATATTTATAACCTATAGCTCTAATTTATAATTTTCAGCCACACCCTTCCAGTGAGGACATTGTGATTGTACAAGAGAATGAATACTGCCAATCGGAGAGGATGACCATATTCATTGGAGTCATTTACGCGTACAAAGGATTATTATTGGTAAGTTTCTATTGGAATTTTCTACTTAATAAGGATCATTCAACTGAGAAGTCAAATTGAAATTTTTGTTTCGTTTAGTGGTACTACAGAATTGGCACCATATTCATTATTATTTATAGGTGTTTGGTGCGTTCCTGGCGTGGGAGACTCGACATGTGTCAATTCCAGCGCTGAATGACTCCAAACACATCGGCCTGTCTGTCTACAATGTACTTATCATGTGCATTATGGGTGCTGCAATTGCTCTGGTGATTTTCTCGTGATTTTATTCCGGAAATGTCTAACATAATAATCTATTGTAACCAAAATGTGGTGATGTGATAATAAGCGACTCTACCGCCTAACTGTCAGCAGATCACTCAGGATTGATCGAAAATTGAATAGGTTAATTTTAATTGGTCTGCTGACGGTTATTCTATCAGCTTGACAGATTATTAAGGACATTATCTTGACAGATCAATAAAGGATTCAGTTACGAAGTAGGCCTTCAGGTCAGACAAATATTTTATCATTTGGGCGTAACTTATGACTACATAGTCGTTCTTCGGTTATAAGATTCCCTAAACTGCGCTAAGTTTTCAATGCAGTTTTAGCTGGCGTATAAGAAATTTCTTGATGAAGTTTTTGTTACTCATGCCACCCCACGCAAAGCGGGTCGGTTATAAATAAATAGTTTATACAGAGTATAAATAAATAAAATGAAGAGTTCATCAGTAACTTTCCCTCTTGTTCAGTCTGTACTCACTATTTAGCATTAGCATATTAATAATGTGTTGATTAATTTTATGTTCTCAGGTCTTGTCCGATCACAAAGATGCGTTGTTCGTTCTCATAGCCATCTTCATCATATTTTGCACAACGGCTACTCTATGTTTAGTGTTCGTGCCTAAGGTGAGCTTTTAGAGTTTTTCATAAACTTTGAATACATAATATAAAAAAGATGAATCATATAATCAAATTCTTATCGATATTTTTTTTTCTCGTCAACTTCTTAAAATCCAATTAGGTAGTTTTCGGCGAATTCGTTTCCTAAATTAAATCCATAAGATGAAACACATCGACAACTTAATCGGCCATAAAATCAAGAAAAGCTTAATTTATTTCATAACTCTATGAAATAAAACAGGAAGGTCTTTGCTGAGTTCGTCGCTTGTTCTTCTCGGGGCAAAGACTCGTTATTTCTATATTTAGGAACGGATGGCATAATTTCTCGACTTTTACGACTACTCGTTTAGATGAATGAATTATTTTAATTGCAAAAATAGAATGTAAACAAAAATTTTTAACCGTCATTCGGGGCCTCAAACTAATTGTACGTACTAATAGGCACACCCGAATTAAGCCAGAGCGGAGCCTGTAGTACAGAACGTGTGACTTGAGTTTGAAAAATTAATTAATTAGCTCTGAACCATGGCGAGGCTCCAATTGCGCGGAGCCCATAGCATTAGCTACTTTTGCTACGTGGCTAATCCGGCCCTGGGCACACCGCCGAATGCGTCGCTAATGTGATTGCAGCTGCTGGAGCTGCGGCGCAACGGGCAGCCGGGCGCGGCGGCGGGCCGCATCCGCGCCACGCTGCGGCCCGCCGGCACCACCGCGCACGAGTGCCGCTCGCCCGGCCCCGAGCTCGAGCGCCGTATGAAGGAGCTGCGCCAGTACAACACGCGCTACCGCCGCACTCTGCAGGCCAAGGAGAACGAGCTGCAGGTATATTTATTACTACACTACACTACACTACACTACACTACACTACACTACACTACACTACACTACACTACACTACACTACACTACACTACACTACACTACACTACACTACACTACACTACGTAAATAGATATGATGCAACTTAAACCGAGGTATTCACCGAGTCAGAATAGAGGAAAGAATGCCCCTACACTTTGTTAGATTAAGTATGAAACATGCGCGTGAGACAATTGCCCGAGACGTGGATTATGAGTGTTTCAGATTCATCCAAAACAGGTTTATGACATGTTTTTATCTTTTTTGAAGTCCTGTAAAGCTTTAGACTGTTGTCGTTTTACAGATTATTATTTGTTATTCCAAAGTTAAGTAAAAAAAAGAGAAGTGGGAGTTTTATGAATAGAATGGATTAGAATTAAATTCTCGACTTCTGGTTTTATTTTTCAAGGACCGAGATTTTTCTGAGATTTTTATAAATCGTAAAATAAATCAATGGTAATATGTTATCTCTTTGTGTATCAAAGATGCTCTTAAGCAAGCTCGGCGGCGATGCGGGCTCCGAATCTTCGACGACCAAAGATTCTCGTTCCCCGGCCACCCAGAGAACCAGGCTTCCAGTCCCCAAGGAGAATATCAGCCATCCCGGTAAGTAGCACGGCAGTATGGGAGCAAGCGTCACAGTAATCAACGTGTTTGTGTTCATTCCCTAGTTAGGTTTGTAGACGTAGGCTGATTGGCAATTAAATGCTTTATTTTCAAAATTTTAAACTTAGCTCGGATTGTGGCAGTTTTGAATACAAGACAAAGAGCAGCATTAAAACAAAACTTTGCCTACAATCAAATCACTCGCACTATTCAATCATGGTCAGCATTTGTGTTGATGGTATAAAGGCTTCTTTTCTTACTATTTTTTAAAGTTTTGTTGGTTTATGTTTTTATTTCGTCATCGTTTTCGTTGTAAGAGACACTAATACATAAATTTATAATACAGATATACTTACTACTCTTCTCATAAGTCTCTCTGGCATTTTGCAATGTTACCTACACTGACAACGCCTATTGCATGTATTGTCAATTGCAAAGTCGACACTATGGACTAGCTGGCATGCTTCATATTCATATAAATTCTTCATATTCTTATAAAAATATGCATTACTTACTGAATACTGAAAGCATTAACTCATTCAATGTCTGATTTGACATCTTCTCATTCCTGTATCGCTTCGAAAGTCATAATACCATAATAAATTAACGAATTTCTGATTAACTCTTTACTTAACTCGTCATTAACAAATATTACCGTCACGTAATGCTACGTCCTTGTATTTAAAGCCCCCACGCCGCAAATCAAACCTTTTATTATACCATTTATTGGACAATGAAAATATAAAGAAATCCTCTTTCAATAGTATAACATAAGAAAGAAACTCACAGTCTTTCTTTGTTCTATGAAAGAACTTAATAAAAATAAGCCTTGAATTTCTTGATTCAATAATTACTGATGATCAATCATTTCTTAGAAATATTAAAAGGAACAATGATCGAGAGATGTGTTAATTAAAAAAGTAATAGCTATGATCATTCATAAATGTATGTCCTAGTGACAAAGTTTCAATGTTCACTAAAAGTTTAGCAATTTGGTGGCGATAATTTAAAAAAAAATAGTCACATTAGCTTTTCATTAGAGAAGAAGATAGCACTGAACAATAGTACTAGTTGGAGGTACGGTAGAGGGGTTAGCTAGGATGCTAATAATATTAGCTTACATACACGTGCCCAAACAGGAACATATTTCTTCGGAAATAACTGAGTAATCTACGATCTTATTAATTATTGACTTTCATTTTCAAACGACCAGCCTCAACAGAAGATGTACTTTGAATTATAAGACATTAATGAATACTATGAAACATAAAAAAATACTTTTAACTATAATGTAACAATAATCCTTAAAGTTTGAGATGAAATGTGTGTCAGCCTGTTACGGGATGGCCTTCTGTCTTATAATTATCAGAATTTATTATAAATGCACAAATGATTTAAGAATATTAATTGTTATTCAGATCAGAATGTCTTTATATTGAGTTTAATTTAATTAAACATACGGGTGAAAAAAGTTGTAAGTGAGTCACAATAAATATGTTTCAAAGCTAATGAAAATTTATATCAGTAGACAATAATTACAAATATTATAGTACCTATAGTCTCAATGTCATTGTTCTTTTTTCCCTTATAATTTTGGAAACGAAAATGAAAATGGAACCATTATTGTATTTTCCAAATCTAATTCACCCGTGCCTCAATGGCCGAGTGGCTCGCCTGCAAGTTTCAAGGTAATTTCTGAGATCCCAGTAACTTGAAGATTCCCGGTCAGGTCAACGTAGAAAATAAATTTTCTTAATTGCCTCGGATCTGGGTGTACCATCGTGTTTTCCTACCAAAATACGAATACTGTAGCTATTATACTTATATTACATATTGTCCAATATATTTATATTTAACTATGAAATCAAAAATCTTGTTATAGTGTAATATCGTTTTTTGAACGACATACCTATGTGACAACTAAGTATATGATTTGATCTGATAATCTGACATTATCTCCTGATTTCAGTACCGATCAACTCTAGATCCTGTTTAGCTACACTACCTTCCTAAACAAAAGATCTGTTTGTCTTTTAAAAACAAACTGCTCTGCAGCGTTTACGTTAGATATCAAAGCGATGCTTGTGGTACACTGTACCACAGTCTACTATAGTTCTTACAGTTGGCCGACGGGCGCGTCTATAAAGATTAATTATAGGGGATACCCAAGCTGAAAGGTGTGTGTGTGTGCTCACATATACTCGCTTGGGGCTCCTCAGTCAGGAATAACCCATTTTATCAAACGTTCTGTGTTAAGCAGTTAGCGGTGAAAGGTTTACATTTCTTTTTACATTATATTCCTGACACCATGCATACACATACTTATGATAAGCAAATGTAAAAGAAACTAAATAAAAGAGTACGGTAACACGTCGTGACGACGTATGTCTAGACAAAGCGGCTTTAAGCGCGACTTCAAAGGCGTTGGCCCACTGTAAGTTTTTACTAGAAGTAGATATTTACTGTAGGGAACGCCAGACTTTGTTGGACAACTCACTACGTCCCCAGTCAGTGCGTATTACTGGTCATCCTGAGGCAGCTGCGTGCAAGCCGAAGGCGCCGTCGAAGTAAAAGCATGCCCGGACAAGAGGCAGTGGTGGACAGTAATTCTCCACGTAAGCCAGTCGTGACTCTTAGGTGTTTAATGTTATAGCTCCGACGTGGTCTAGAGAGGTTTACGTGTGAAATTCGATCTTCAAGAAAGGTCACTTCATAATCACTGGGTTTTGGCAACATAAGACACTGACGTCGAATGTTCAAATGTTTGAGCTAATAAGTAAGAATTTGTGTATTGGGATAATGCCCTCCAGTAAGATGTGTGACGCTGCTGTTAAGGTTTGGAAGAAAACCGATTTAAAGGAAAGTTTGGGTGTTATTGACCAAATTACCGACAAACTTATTATTGTGTTAAAAAGTAGGTACCTTTGTATCAGTGAATTTCTGTGTTCTGAAAAAATTGTCCCATTTTATATATATGAACAAAAAACTTGAGCAAAAAACAATCTGACTTTCTTTTTGTTTTTGGTACCAACACACAGACAGACTACAGTATTCTTTTTGTTACTCTAATAAGTATATATACTCGTTTCTGATATCACCTAATTCCACTTAAATGTTGTGACAATATAGTATATTTTACATACATAAGACTAACCAAACATATATATATATATTTGGTCTGTCGTCCTGTGATATCTCGACCTACTCTTTCCTTGGGTATAAGTATTACATATTGGATAAGTTCAAACTAGTCAATGTGTTAGATTGATAAATCTACATTTTGGTGAAATTGTTTAAAAGTAAGATTGTCTAATTTTTTGCAATTATTTTTTGTTAATACTGCTTACAAACTTGGCTTCTTTTATTTTATTTTATAGTACATGTTACTATTAGTAAGTAAACCTGCACTCACGCAACCACAGAAATAGATTTATTTCTGTGCACGCAACCAAAACCAAACTCAAATCTACTGGACCGATATCAGAAACTTTTTCAGTAGTAACATCTAAACTTAAGAAAGCGATAAACTTGATCAACTCCGTTCTAAAAGTTATCTCAAAAGTCTCATAATATCTCATGTCTGCGTCATAAAGTTATTCAAGGTCAAACATCTATCAGTTTACTCGGGGTATGTTCCGATATACGCTGCGACCACTGAACAGTTACCTATTATGGCAAGTTATACTGGTGACTTTTCTATATATTATTACAGGGCTTGAAACGCGGTCCAGAATACTGTTAATCCGTATTTATTTAGGTACGCCATGTTCTCAAATAATGTTCCGTGCCAGGATCGGAATCTAAATGCGGAGTGAAGATTCGGCCCTGGCAAAAAAAAGCGGTTAATAAGCTTGGTACTAAAAAAGCATTATGTATCAATTAAATCGCATCTTATAAATGAACGTAAGTATATGATTTTTGTTTATTTAGCGACGTATCATTTATCTGATACCTGTGTCGACGGATCACGTGATCAGAAAGGAGTGCGAGGCACCTTACCTCGAAATCACCAGCGCTGACAGTACAAATGTGAGCGGCAATTGTATGGACGACATAAATTTAACCCTAGGGTACTGAAGCAGAGAACCGGCAGTCCATAACGTGAACCGGATTTTTCAGCAGTAAGACCACTGCGCAAAGGAGCTCGCAGTGTATATCGGAACATACCCGCGATGTACTATACGCTCCGACGCCGGTACCAAATATGGCAATTAACCGGTATCCAAGCCTCTAGATATTATTATTTACTTTATCAGAACATTTTTTGAGACAGAGGGTATAAAACGCGCATTGTATCTCGATGAATTAACTTAATTTCTAGTAATTTTATAACTTTACATGAGCCTTTTTTCTTCAAAATTCATCATTATTGACACTTGCATTGTGTAGTATGTTATGGGTGTCTTTTCGCCCTCAATTAAAAACACATAAAATTAATTTAAATCAAAATTTATCGCAATATTGTTCCTATATATTTTTAATGATGGTAACAAAATTAGTATTAAAAAGATTGACTTTTGACTTCGAATAACTCGCAACGCGAAAAGGATTTTAAGACTACTTTTAGAACGCGAAAATGATATTGTTTACAATTGTTCAGTTTAATATGTCCCTCTCATTCCGATAGGAAACGCAAATACTGCAAGTACCTAATTTAAAAACGAAAACTTTAGTTTAAGTTAATTGGTATCTTTAAATTTAAGATGCAATAAATGCATAGGTAACTCCAGAGTGGAGACTGTAAAAGCCAATTAATTTCTTGGTAAAATAAATATGAGACCTTTAGTATGATCCGACGAAGGTAAGTACTTAAAAATACAGTTCAAATTAAGACTGTATCATAATCATAAGACCTGTCAGAAATTGAATCCGGGTCCTCCGAGATAGTGACCTTAGCTCAGCGAATGATAGACTTTTCAATGAGGAAGCATTAAAAAAATATATAGTTTCCGAAAACAAACTATGTGTCGCTACCTTAGTGGTTAACATGATGCAAGTAAACCAATTTATGTAAACCATAAAATGTGTTGATAATTAAATAAAAAAAAAAATATCTCCATGACAACCCATCCGGTTTCCTTCATGTATAAAAGTACATTAATTTTCAAAACTCAATAAATAACTCGTATTCTATTTGTACTTTTTTGTATTTGTATTGATATCTAAGTTTCCAATTTGTCGAATTTCTGTTTTTTAATATGTCAGTTAAAAGGAACGGAAATTACTACCTTTGGTCCATTCGTTTTCTGCAAAAATCAACTTTTGCTAGAGTCGCCTTCTAATGAGGTGCTTTTTTTAGTGTTTTCTTTTTTTAATACTTCCTCATTAGTCTGATGATTATAATTAGAGATGCGCCGAATATTTATTCAGCGTATTCGGCATCTTTTTCACTATTCGTATTCCACCGAATTATTCGGTTTTGGTGTCGGATATATTCGGTTCGAGTATTTCTATTTTCTTGGTCACACGACACGGTATAGAGCAAAAAGACAAAATTTCTCATGGAAAACGTATATGAACAATAGATTTAATAAAGTAAAGGAATCATAAATATTTTTATGTATCTATTTACATATGTTCATCGATTTCCTCTTGTATTGTGAACCAATTTCTATCAAACTAGCTGTTTCGTCACGACTTTGCCTGAGTAAATTATATGTTCTAAACCATAGCTCATTATTCAGTATTTTATAATACTAATACTTGGTTTAGCTTCCCGTCGGTGAAAGAATTTTATAATTGATCCAATAGTATCGGAGCCTATTCAATGCAAACAAACAAGCAATCAATTCTTTCCTTTTTATAATATAAGTATAGATTATTGCAAAAAAACTATGTCGAGCAAATAAATAAAATCAAATTTCCTAAAACTTTCACATATTTTATAGTTATTTAATATTATCTATTATATAAAAGAAATATTAATATCACTAAAAAGCATGCAATAAATATTTTTCAAAAATGGAACCTACTCTAAAAAAGGGATGCATAATATTTATCTAAAAAGCGATTTATTAAAGAAACGCCTATCCTTTAATTAATAACCTAGAGTAAACTTCCGCCCAACTTTAATAGCAGTCCCTTAATAAGTAGTTTTTGAGATAAGTATTATTTAAAATGTTATTCTTTATACTCATTAGTTCTCTATTTCTGATATCATTGTTCACTATGATACAAGGAGCACTTATAAACACCCTGCCAAATAAAAATAATGAAACGGTAATCTGAATAACTCGGCCGAATATCCGGTTCGGTATTCGGTTATTCGGTCAAACCATTACCCATTCGGCGCATCTCAAATTATAATGCATTGCAAAAATACTAATTCTCCTTTGGATAGTTTAGGTTAAATCAGCCGTCCAATTGGGCGGTTAGCCCTTTAATTGATTGGGGCCTATCAATAAACTGGTTGAAATTCGATCAGATGACTAGCTGAAGGCAACGTTCTACAGTTCTACAATACGGTTGAACAAAGGTCAGCCAGCTAATTAACTGTTAATTCATCGGAATACCGAAATTTATTGGTAGGATACGAAGTAAAACAAAAAATAAAGTGTAAAGTGGATGATTAAAATAAAACTAAAAACTCCTTGTTACTATCTGTAATCAATACAGATACAGGACTGACCAAAAATATGCTTATTAGACATCAGTAATGCCGGATCATAATAGTTCCAGAAACCATATCCGGACATGGAACGATATTGTTCCAATCCGCGATGTTAGTTCCGCAGAGCCGCCGCGCTCCGCCGAATTGTCGATGCGAAAGAGATAGAATACATATTTATGGATGGAAGTATTAAAAAAAAAACGAAAACACTAAAAAGATCCTCCACTAGATGGCGACTCTAGCAAAGTTGATTTTTTCAGGAAATGAATGGACCAAAGACAGTCATTTCCGTTCCTTTTAACTAACATATTAAAAAACTGAAATTTGAAAAGTTCGAAACTTAGACAATACAAACAAATACGAAAAATTTGAAATAGAATATGAGTTGTTTATTGAGTTTTGAAAACTTATTTACTTTTAAACATGAAAGAAAACCGGAAAAGTTGTCATAAAGAAATCAAGAACGTACTGTGGCGACATCGAGTTTAGTGATGAGTCCATCACGCGCGAGGTGCCTCGTTTGAGTTCCTCATTTCGACAAAATGAGGGAATACTCGTTTTTCAATTTTGAAACACCTCATTAAGTTCCTCACTTTTGGAGTGAGGAGCTAAATGAGGTTGTGGACTTTTGTGTGAGTAGCTAAATAGCGAGTTGTTTCGAATGAAAAGGCGACTCGATATTTACTCAATATATTCAAGATTGAGGGAATGAGTTTAATGAGTTTTTTGGAACGATTCAGGTTTGTTTATGTGTTTCTTCGTAAATACGTATTTAATATTTAATTGATATGAATTAGACTAAGTAAATATCAAAGTTAATAAAAATGTATCTGTTTTATTTAGAAATGTATTTATATGATTCGAAATATAAATGATTGATCGATTTAAAAAATGGAACATTTAACACTATTAAAAATAAGTTGCATGTTGTGGTCATTCTGATAAATTATAATCTAGTAAAGTTTATTTCTTAGAATCTAAAGACAAAATATGTTTTGTTTAGCATTACCCACTCCCTCCCTCATTTTGTACCAAATGGCAATGTTGCGCGCGCCTCGCTACGTACTCATTCGCTGCTACTGTAACATTACCTATCCTCACCTCAAATGAGTGGTGACTCGCGAGCCCCTCACGAGGGAAAATGAGGTCCTCACTCATCCTCATTAAAAAAGAGTGAGTAACACAACGCTAATCGAGTTAGATTCCGGGAATTAACGCTTTTATTAAATACTTCTTCATTAATCGTTCGTTTAACAGGATGTTAACCTGCCCACCAATAACAAAAGTGGGTTATACCGTAAATCTCATAATAAATTCATAATACTAATACAATTATACAAAGACAAGATATATCGCGATTTACACGACCACAACGCCATCTATCGAAAATGAGAATAAGCAATGTATTTGAATATGATTGTTTTAGTATGTTTATTACGATTTCGAAGTTTGGTGCTACAACAGTTAATAACAATAATGAATGATAAACAATTTGAGGATATTTTTTTAACAGATAACAAAACTAAATGAACCTTTTGGCAGCTTTTGAATCAGCCGTCTTGTTGAACGGTTCAAATGTCACAATGATACAACTAGTAAACTAGGCGTGCAATTGAATGGCGCCATTCAATTAAATAACTAGCCGCCCAATTTGACTGCTGATAATGAATACAGTCAACAGTTATCTCTCTTTATTAGTTCGTCCTGTTTGCATCCTTTCTTGATCACATTCTTCTATCCGTTTGTCCTATTACCATTATATCATGTGATTTGTATCACACTACTGTGATTTTCTTATAAATCACTGAGCTTCCAATAATTTTTTCACTTACTGTAGCTACAGTAAAAATACAGCTTAAAAATAAAAAGAGTATTTATAACAAAGCAGCATAATTGATGTAATATTATTACTCGTATATTATCAAAGTAATATAGATTATTCAGTTTAGTTAGTACTTTCATAAAATTTTTATTAAAAATTATAAAACATAACTTGAGAATACATTATAGTGTCCTTAATTTGGCATAATTTTATGTTTCAGAAACTAGCGATATAACATCAGTGTGTAGCCTCAGTGCTTCAGCCGGAGCAGAAGTTGAATATATAAATTTGCAAAATCAACAATCAGAAAAGTAAGCTCAGTTTACTATCACAACTTTATTTAATAACCGAACGCATTATTTACTTTACAGTCCTATAAAACTTTATTTATTCTAGATTTTGCATAGGGGTTGATATATTCACGGTTTCATCATTCATTCATGCATCACTTCTTAATTTTCTAAACTCTGATGATATTAAGTATTTGTTAAAGTCCTAAATATTATGAGTTATCGTTTGACCTTTGTTTCATTCAGCTACGATTAGTTTTAATCATAAACTGTTTTGGGAAAACATTCCAGATATAAGGGTTAACTCGTTAATTATTTTTAGAACTAAGCCATCGGCTCCGCCTGAATCGATTAAGGAAGTTATTCCAAAAGAGCCTAAAAAAGAGCAAACGAAGAACGTGTCATTCAAGAACCATTTGGATTACACTAGCCCACCATCATCTAAGGCAGTGCCAGAAAAGGATCAACTTGCTAAACTGCCGTATGGATGGACTGCCGAGGTATGCGATCACACCAAATAGATAATTAAAAGCGACATATATAATTATATACATATAATTAAAATTCCACTTCTGGGTAACATGGTCTACGATACATAAACAGAGTTTTTAATTTTGCTTTAACTAAAGTTATGTAACAATTGAAATAACATTTTTTCAAATAAATATCTTTCTTTTAGGAACCCTCCGAGCCCACACCAAAAGTTGTCAAAATACCTGAGCCAGTGAAATCCGAAACTAAAACTATTTCGGCTTTGAAATCTAGTGATACTCCGACAGTAAAGTCCATACCGGCAAAAATCCAAGAGCCCATGTATACCAAAGCGGCAACACCAAAAGTTAATAAGGTACGTCTTATATGTGGTCAAAATTAACCTAAATAGTGTTTTTGGACGATTTGCAGTTTTATTATTTTATGAGCACATATAAGTCTGTCTTAATTGTTATATTCTCTTCATGTATATATTGAAAATGTTACTTTTGCATGTTACATTACATTTGCATGTCGAGGCAACCTGGCAGAATTTAATAAAAATCATTTTATTAGAACCTCTGTAAACATTATTGTAAACCTACAGATTTGCGGTTGTCCTGTTCAAATAAATTAATACCTAAACATATTAAGTCTTCTTTATTCAAATCTTACTACAGATTTTGACTTATTTTAAGACCAAGAAAACAAAAAAAAAATATTGCTTTATATTTTAGGTATCCTGTTGTTTAATCATCGAATTGCTGTTAGGCGATTTCAAAAGAATTCGAATATATTTATTTAGATGGTACTTCGAATAATGCAATTGATAATTGGTGATACCCAGACGCCTGAACTCCAAAAGAAAATAATGAAATCCCAAGAGTCGGTGACGAAAACTCCACCGTCCAGGGATCAGAGAAGCGGGCGCGGGCACCGGCGCACCTCCAGCGTGAGTCAGGCCGCGCTGCTGTCCGACCTCATGCACGTCAGCGTCGACAGGGACGACCAGCCGCCGCCCGACATGGAGAGGAAAGTCATAGGTCAGTATTTACCTTATGCCCGTGCCCGAGATGGAATTAGAACCGACAAACTCGCGCTATATATGTAAGCATATTTCTTTCGGCTGTTCAGGTGACTTTCCCAGAACATTGCTAAAAATACGCTAATTTGTAGCAAAAGTAACTAGGGCTATATAAAATCGTCAGTCTCGCTTTCGGAGAGGTCAAAGATAAGAGCAGTCGCCGGGATTGCGAAAGGATGCGAGTTTGAATCTCATCTCGGGCACCTGGGATTGGTGAATAAAAAGGGTTTGGGAAATAAAAGGAATATAGCATCATGGATGTAAAGTTGGTCAAATAGAATATAATATTCATAGATTTTGTGTTTACAGCATCATTGTTAATTGTATTCACTATGTCAATTATGTGGCAATACTGAATATGTGTAGGTCAAGAGAGAGATCCACCGCCGCCTATGAAGCAAAAACAAGAACCTGAAGACATATTAGACACTGATGATTATTCGTCGGCAGAAAGAAAAAAGTCATGTAAGTTTCGTTTTTTAAGTAATTCTTTTGGGGCTCCCCGATTTACTTTTTAAGTGCATCGTCACCATCATTATCAGCTCTTTTACGTAAGCCCCACTGCAGAGGCTTAGGCCTTCCTGATGGGGTGTTAAGGATGATGGGCCATGACCCCCCCAAGGAGGATTGGATTGGGTATTAACGACTGCAAATGCATGGGGGACTAACAGCTTAACGTGCAATTATATAAATAGAGAAAAATTTCAAGCGCCGATAACTCTCCTTCCAAGTTTTTTCAGAGATGTAATTCAAAAATTGTTTTAAACTTTACTTTTTCGTATATAAGTTATTCAAAACGAGGATACAGGCCATTGATTAATATAAAAATTACAGGCCAAAGGAGAGATTCAGAGAGGAGAAAGAAGGAGAACTTCATTGTAGTACAGAGTGACCTGTGGGACACAAATACATTCCAATATACATGCCAAAAATCACCGCCTGGTAAGTAAAGACGAGTTTTGACCGGTACAGTGCGATTGCGAATTTATTTATAAAAAAAAAACTTTAAATAAGATAACTGACACAAAGCTTGGTTGCATCTAGTCTTCAACATCTAACAAACTATTAATTGTACTTTGTACTTTCCATGGTGTGAATATTTGTGTAATTGTACTGTAAGTAAAAGTGCGGATTCCGCTTTCACCGTTCTTTTTGCTTGATTTTTACGCTTTTGTTTGGTTGTTCTATACATTAAAATGTTTGCATTCAAACTTTAAACTTCCTACTTCCTATCGCATTTGCCAACCCACTATTGCGGGGAAGGGAAGACTCACACCCAATAATGAGGAGTAGATATTAATACCTTAATAAAAATATGTATATGTAAATGATTGAAACTATGTATTTAGTTGTGATGTACAAATTGCAGCGACTCATCATCATTCTCCGATGCAGAGAAGCGTGTCAGAGAAGAGTCGGCAGCAGTCATCACCACACCACCACAGGTAGAACCGCTAATGATAAACTATAGCCTTACTTCCAGACCAGTAGCGTAGCTAGTTAACCAAGGGCCCTGGGGCAAATTAAGAAAATGGGGCCCACTGCTCGAAAAAAAATCTTGACTCGAAGTTCACAATCGCGAATCACAAAAACGCATATCGATAAATAATAAAATACAGATATTGATATCCGACAAATTGATGAAAACATTAATAACACTGTCAACCCACACAAATAATTTAGGGGAATTCCCTTTTTATAACTTTGGAATTTCTTACAACTGAGTTGCCATGTCATATTTATTTCGAAAATGGGAGAAATTTTCAAAAGTTGAGGTCGATTGAAATTTTCTGATAAAGATTCGAGGGCCCCCTGAGCTTGAGGGCCCCGGGGCACTGCCCCGCCTAGCCCCTTGGTAGCTACGCCACTGTTCCAGACAGATATTTTTAAGAATGATAGGCACAAAAATTATCCCCTTATGTTTATCTGATACTTATATTATAATACTTTAAAATTCATGGAATTAATCATAATCATAACACATATTCCGTAGATTCCCTTTTTACCAAATTGAAGAATGAGAATAAAATCTTTTTCTTTTCACAGAGAGACTGACGCCAGGAGTAATGAAAGGAGAGCATCAAACGCTTCTATAAATTACGGTACGAAGTGGCGAGACTATTGAATCAAATAGCTAACTAACTATCTATAGGCGACTTGAGAATTTCGTTTGAACTGAAAGGTGATTGGAAGAGTGTTATGTAGACGTGATTAGCTTATTACCTGTCTATGATTATACATTAACACAAATAAGCGTTTTATCTCGGAATGAAAGTTAGTGACTTTTTAGTGCCTTTGACTTGACAGATTTAATGGAACCTCTGCGACAACATTTACAACGCCAAAATGAACGTGTATATGAGTTTTAGCGTATCTCTGTGTGAAGAGTTTTATTTTTAAAAATAATAATAATTATTTATTGAGATAATTATTTATAATAATTATATATTCATTTATTGAGCAACCACACAATGAACAAATAACAAAATTAATGAATAAAGCCGGCAAGAAACTCACCAAGGGTTGCTATTTTTCTCTGTTATATTATAAATAGAGATGTCAAAATTGAAAAATTACTTCAATAGAATATGAAGTCACTTTTCATCTGAACATTAAAAATAAACAAAAAAAATATAGTCGATATATAGATTACCACTCTAATTTCTTAGCTGGCACAACAAGAGGTGGGACTCCTGAAGGTTATCGGGAAGCAGAAACTCTTAGAATGACTGATCGGCTAGGAAAGGTAAGTATTCAAATTACGAAGTTTGAGACTTGACTGGATTTTCAGTTATTATCATATCATATTGCTGGCGCAATGTTAATAAATTTTATATGGCTCATATTGCCATTATATCTGAAATATGACTACATCAAGTTGTTCTAAATGTATATCGGATTAAATTTTATTCTCTCTCTAAGAAAGCAGAATCGCTATAACTTGCTGACGAAGTCCGTCATTTGGTATACTTACTGATGTTTTATACAATACCATGGAAATGTAGTGTAAGACTTGACAACAAATTGTGTTGCTGTCCCATTTACCTATCATCGTTATTTGCAGCGACGGGGCTCCGAATTTCCACAACCAGTGAGCACGCCACCACATCAGAATCAATCTAAGCGGAGACAATCATCAGCCCAAGTGAGTGCTGAATGTAGGATCTATGTTTAATCACATTTTTATACAAATTTTACTCAAAGGCTGGATAGTTACTATATATCCACATGAATCGTAGAATTTTTCAGTTTTGGAAACCTCACATGCCGTTGATTATATGTTAAATATGTATGTTCACTGTTACAGGTCAGATCTTATCAAGACGAGAGGCCTGATAAAATGGAACCGTCTCACAGGCATGACGATAATCTATCCAGGAAGGTCCCGGAGGTTTCCGAGACCGAATCCTGGAAACCAGACCCGGATACGATCAGAGTATCTAAGGGTCAGGATTCCCCCGCGAAGAGGCTGAGACAAGAAGCAGAGCCCCTAAAAAGGGCGAAAGGAGTAGGAGATTCGCCTCGATTGACTCAGGCCTCACACACACCGAGACCGGATCATCATAAAAGTAGCCCTAACGTAGCATCTAGACATAAAACAGGTACTTTAGGCTTTTTCTGCATGCTATTTTCTCGTAAATACTCGATAGAGCAGTAGTTATCGTTTAGTCTGCAATGCAATGGCAATTATAGTGTGTGACTAAAATGTATTATTTCGAGCTTCTCCGTGCTTTATATTGAGTTGTTTTATCTGCATTTAACTGCTCATCTTTCAAGACGCATTGGGCCCACTTGGTGTGTTATTATGACCCGTTCTTTATCTTTGATTCCATCTATAAGAAAGGCCTGTGGTCCAGCATTTGGTACATTAATAAGCTGAGGTAATTGAAGTGAAAAGTTATGAAATCAACGTAACCCAAATCGATTATTTCAGTACCCATCAGTTTTTTGAGTGCAGCTATCCAACATTATCATAAATTAGGGAATACTTAACAAACGTACTCACCTAATAATTAATCACATAAGTACTTTTAAACTAATAAAGCACAGAGCCAATAACTTTTTTAGATATTTATGTAAAATTGTTATACCATAAAAAACGCCTAAAAGCTGTTATATCGTGACTTGCAAAATAAAAAGTGCCAATTATTGTACTTACATAGCATGCGAGCATAGCGTCGTATAACACAGACCTATAAATGTCACGACCAGACAAAAAAAAAATATTTTTAGTTTACAATATTTAGTTAAGGTGGAAGCCATAGATCAAATGTTTGTGTTTAATAAATAGCTAACTATATAGTCCAACGAGGCTGCTGGTGTTTTACAAGTAACCCTCTATAAATCAGAGGATTCACGGGACTAAATAAATTCCTGTGATATAATTGTGTAATTCTGAATGTGTTACTGCATTTGCCATGCGAATTATATATATTTTATTTACTTTTTATAAATATTTGTTTTATACTCGTATCACGTAGTATTAAAATTCTCTTTGGTTTGTGGTACCGAACAACATATTGACGGATATTTTCAAAATGCTCTACAGTAAAGTACGGCCGTGCTCTTTTTACTTTTTTGCTCGACATGGCGGAGGCACTTCTGCGCCTCCAGATTTGAGATTACATGGTAAAACCTTTCATTTGATATGTCACACATTATAGTTTTCCAAATTTCTTTTTTTATATAATTTGTTTAATATTACATTATACAACCACGTGTGGAACGCTTCATAGAAGAAAGGTGGTGCCTTTGTGTTGCGTAATGCAGCGACCGATTTCAATAAGATACAGCTAATCTCAATAATATTTTAATGCGCCTATGAGTCAAGTATCTCATTAAAACTTTTCAGGATCGCCTAGCACTCGCGAGGAAAGGAAGTCCGCCAATTACAGCAGGAGTGATTCGAAACGGCAGGATTCGGTAGAGCAACGTAAAATGTACACCGCCAGCTCAGAATCGGAGCTGTTCGAGTGTGCAATCTTGCCCATCTTCCACAAACTCCTCACCGAACGTCACAAAAGCCAACCTCATGGCCTCAACCTTAGTTATGGTGTTAGTTGTCCCAATATATCAATCAAATGCGACATAGTAGAGTATTTGTAAACTTTAGAACCATGTTTGTGTTTATTTTATTAGAGTTGGTAAAATTAAAATGTCAGGGTTTCTCAAACTTGAATTTAAATTATTACCTATATCAAATGGAATTAAATTAATATATCATCAAGCCGTCGCTTAATGTTAAATTTCTATAGAGATAGTTTCAAATGATTTTTATCCAATTAGTATTTACCTTAAAAATTACACTTTTTATTGAAAATTCATTACAATATAGGCATTTTGAAAGTCTACTGTGGGGAGTTGGATTTGTATAAGTATTATAAGTTTGAGAAACCACAGAACTTTGATTTGTTTTTGACATCTTCGGTCAGTTGCACAAAAGTCCATTAAAGTCTAATAACGCCTTTAAGCTCCAATGACTGTCAAATATGTATGGGTAGTGTCGCTTTAAATTAATGATAATTTTAATGGACGTTTATGCTACTGGTTGATTGTTGCCTATAACCATAAACTACCAAAGATACCAAAGACTATGTGTCAAGTCGAAGTCAGTCAAGTTAAACACCCACTTAATAACACAGTAGACAACACAATTATTATTATATTAAAAAAAAAACAGATTTTTATTTTCGTAAAAGTGTCTATAGCTTACAGCACAAAATAATACTTAAATTCTAGATCAGTCAAATTAGCACAAAAAAGGGATAATTCCCTGAATAAGAGATAATAGGCTGGGAACTTGAATACAAACACGTTCATAAAGGTATTTCATAAGTCTTATTAAAGCTCGTGTCATCATCTCAATTTCTTCAAGCTCGGTATTTAGGATAACATTTAGACAAAAAAAAAATCCAGACTTAGTTTGTGCGATTAACCGTTTTTGAGCTATAGGGCAGAGTGCGTAAAATAACAGTGAATAATGCCTTGAAAAATATAATAAATAGAAATACTAATAACTAAAAGAAATGATTCATTTTTAATATATTTTAATTTATTAACATACAGAGTTATGATTTATTACAAGATTTAATGAGACATTTTAGATATTTTTTTCAGCTTATATCTCATTCTGTATATTTTGATCATTAACAAGTTCGCTCACGGGTCCTAATTATAAGTAATAATAAGTACTTACCTTTCAAGGTATTTGTAAAAAAGTCAATAATAATGAATGTTAAGTTACTTTGTCTATTTACATCGAATGTGTGGGTAATCAATTACTACCTATAGAGACCAAAGGTGTAATTGTTGTATGTTTAGTCAACTTTAAATACAATCCATTATCGGTCAGTTTCACAAACGTCCATTGAGGTTTAATGACATCTTTAAGCTTTAATGAATGTTAAATTTGTATGGGCAATGTTGCTTTAAACTAATGAAAATTGTAATGGACGTTTGTGCCACTGGCTGTATGTAGCTTAAAATATATATGTATACAGGGTTATATGCAAAACACTTGTATTTTGTAGGACTATTTAGTTAATATATTTCCGCAAATAAAGATTATATTAATCTTATAAATAATAATGATGATTAGTTACATTTTACATTAATAAAAAAATAATCTATTTTGCCTTTCGAATGTTTATAGTTCTAGACGTAACTAGTGGGCGATTTTTTACGTACCTAAATAATAGATATCCAGGGGGTAAATTTATATTATATTATAATTTCCGTTGAATCCGACGACCTCCCCTCACAATCTCGACTTTTTTTTAACATTTAAATTAGAAGAATTCTTCGAAAATTATTTACGTAGATAGGTACTTAACAATTCATTTGATTTTTATTCTAGTTCAATCACATCCACAGAGCGGATTATAAAAACGCCTAAAGCTGTTATATCATGACTTGCAAATTAAAAAGTGCCAATTATTGTACTTACATAGTACGCATGCATAGCGTCGTATAACACAGACCTATAAATGTCACGACCAGACAAAAAAAATTTTTTTAGTTTACAATATTTAGTTAAGGTGGAAGCCATAGATCAAATGTTTGTGTTTAATAAATAGCTAACTATATAGTTCAACGAGGCTGCTGGTGTTTTACAAGTAACCCTCTATAAATCAGAGGATTCACGGGACTAAATAAATTCCTGTGATATAATTGTGTTACTGCATTGCAAAAGAAAATAGATACAACGTGACTGTTTTCCAAACATTATAAGTTATATATGTTATGTAAAATGTAGGAATATTTAATTTTTTGTGTTAGTTTTCCTATCACTAGTAAACTATATTTTACTGACATAGTGTCCCTGTAAAACTTCTGTTCTAGTCATAACGATTTAGTGCAATTCGCCTGTAAGTACTTAGGTAAATTTCCTAAAAATTGCCATACTCTGTCTATTGCACGTAATTTAAAGACTTATAGTATTAAGATTTTAAATTATCGAAGTTATTAAAATTATTACAAAAATATTTGGTTTTCTTTATTGTTTTTGTAACAATATATTTTTCCTATTTATTGAAAAAAAGAAAACGCTTTTGGCCCTATGTTTGATATCTTCAGTTGACACTAGTATATTATTAGGTACCACCAGGGCTTGGAAACCGGTTAAATTTTTGAACCGGTTCGACCTAAGTACATGCGGAACTTTCTGTAAAAGGTTCCGCTCCTTTGAACCGGTTTCTAAAATGGCTCAAGAGAAATACGGTTTTTTTCACTAACCGGTTTAAATATTACTCTACGCAATGACCTCACGAACTTCGGCGCAGTTTATCGTTGTGCGCGTGACACGTGGTACATTTCTGTGTAAATGTCTATAACCAATAAGTGTTGAGTGTTGGTCACGCAACTATAGTGCACTTTTATTGATATTCATTCTATGTTAATAAGATGGCATTGAAACGTAAATTAAATGAAGTAGGTGAGTATTTAAAAACCTTTTCATAAGTATTATATTTGAACAACTTTAGTAAAATAAGTTATTTTTGTATTACAGATACGAATTGGTATACTCTGAATTTGTTTTAGGAAAGTTCAAATTGTACTGGAAACGGAATAAGATGATAATGAGACTTAAGCAGACTGTAAAGCGCCAAAACATAGAAGGTAAGAGCCAGTAACATAATAAAAACAACTGTTTTTACTGTGACGTATTCACATTATAATGTAAAATTGCATGCATTTTATGTAACATTTTCCGTCAATATAAAACCTTTTTTTCTTTTATAGATTATACGAAGAATGCCTTCGATAATGGTGATGAAACACAGGATATATTTTCTGTATCACCAGATCACTGATGCGCAAAAATGGCCATCTAATGAATTACTGGAAAAAAATTGAGATCAGGACCACGACTTATGGCACAATTAATTGAAAAGAATGTGGAACGATGACTGAAAAGAGAATGACATGCAATGACAAGACTGATATGGAAATTCGATGTAATTAGTTTTTCGGCTTTGTAGTAGCATGCGAATTGGTCAATTATCATAGCCAAGTACGCCACAACATAATGCAACTATATTTAAAACGGGTACTTAGACCTAAAAGGCAATTAGTATTAAGTAAGGCTGATTGCAATGATAAGACTGATTTGAATTATTGAAATATATATTAATAGTTTTTATAATTAAAATACTTATGCCATAGCAGGACTATGCATTTTTCATTATAATTAACAATAATTAATTACAGAAAATAAAAAAATCAAAAACTGTTGGAGACAGATTGAATAGAAGGTGTAATAATGTTATAAATAAGTAATAATAAGTAGGTACATACACATTAGTAGAAGCAAATTAATAGCATATATAAGGTGTAATAAATAGTACATACTATATGCCAGGACTTCGTGGGGTGGATACGTTAAGAATATTGAACTTTTACTATGGGAACAACACTGAATTCATGAAAAAATTATCAGCTGTTTCATACAAAATTTTAAGTAATACCTACAATCGCCAACAGTATGAAATGGCTGATTATTTTTTCATGAATTCAGTGTTGGTCCTATAGTAAAAGTTGTTCAGTATACTTAACTCCTCCACCCCACGAAGTCCTGGCATATAAAAATGGCCATTTATTACACCTTATATATGCTATTAATTTGCTTATACTTATGTGTATGTACTTACTTATTGTAAATAGCATTGTTCCTTACGACTAAAATGTCATCGATGATTGAATCGGATAAGGAAAGTCTTAAATTATTTAGAACAAACTTGAGTGATGAAAATAACCTTTCTACACTTACTTGTGTAGGTGGTGTAGATAGAGCAATGTTAGAGAGTAAATATAGTTGTGGATCGGAAACCCTTTTTTTATTCCAAAATTTTAAAATATCAGTATTAGTAGAAACGAATGGCTCATTTAAAAAATTTATGAGTAGAGCGCAAAGTGACACGCCTGGCTGATTCTGATTAGATGCATAACGACTTTGTCGAATATTATAAAAAAACTGATCTATATTATGGTAACAATTTTGTGATGTGCTAGGTGCCGGTTGTAGTTCTTCTATGGAAACATTGGAAATAGACTTAGAATGCAATTGGTTAACTCTATTGAAAGTGTTTAACAAATGTTGGCGTGCCTTAATAAGTTGTTCCTCTGTCAAAACAGCATTTACTCGAGGATCCAGATATATGGCAGCAAGAAAACTTTCATTTTCGAAAAGCATATTTTGTCTTTTTTTCATATGCGACACGACACATAATGCGAACGCAGAAGTTAAATTTTCATTTTCCATTATGCAACGCATCCAAGCAATATAAAAATCGCCGATAGTCAGCTGCTCTTTCTGTAACACTTTACTAAGTGCTCGACATGGTTTAAGAGCGTTTAACATTTCTGTAATTGTTGCCCACGTTGAATCCTCCAGACTTATGCTTCGAAGAACATCAGGATCAGATTGGCAAAACTGTTTTAATGTTAAAAGTCTTTCTAACATTACAACGGTCGAGTCCCATCTTGTGGAACAATCTACCACGGCATTAAGCAATTGATTATCTCTTAGTTTCAAAACTATATTTGGTGTTCGTAACAATTTTGATAATCGACGACATTGTTCTAAGATTGGCTCACATCCCAGTAACGTGTCACGAACAGCCAATTGTAAAGTATGGGCCGCACAACGAACAGCAACAATTTTATTTGTAGTTGACTCATTAGGGTATCCGCTATCAAACTCAATATTCAAAATATCTGATTGATCTTCGTCTCCATAGTCTTCAAAATTATCTTCTTCTTCTGACACATCACATATACTAATATCTTCCATTTCTTGCAATTGTAAGGCTTCTCCTATTTTTTTTGTCATTTTGATCATATTAGATCCGTTATCTGAGGTGATCGAATATATTTGATCAATATTAATGCCATAGCGGCTCAAAACAAACATCATTGTTTGTTTCAAAAACTCTGCAGTGTTTCTTTGATGGAGCTCCAAAACACCTAGGGTCCTTAAAACTATTTTGCCATCTAAGATATATTGAATGTTGAGGCCAAGAAACCTTCTTGATCTAACAGATGCAACGTCAATTTTTAATGCCACTAGCTGATTTTGTATTTCTTGAGAAATCGCTGTACGCACCTCGTATGCTTTGTCTTCTACGCTGCTTTTAATTTTTTTATGTTTGCGTCAGTAACTTCTTTTTTATTATTTTTATTATCATTCTCAATTAATTTATCGTACTCTGTACGATGTTTTCGATAAAAGTGGCGCAATAAATTAGCACCATGGTTACCCTGAAAATAAAATTATAAAATTATAGGGTTCCCTATTTATTTTATAAAATGTTAAAATATTATATATTTTGGCATAGTTTTATTTGTAATAGCTTATGCATCATATTTTATAGTATATTAATATTTAATCTCTCTCGGATCTTAATTTATAGTATAGATAATAATAAACTTAATATAGACATAGGCAAAAAATTAAAAAACTTGAACCAATTATACAATTCGAAGAAACGACTAAAAAGACAGAAATAATACTAGACATTTCCATCGTCATTAAAATCGAAACACAAGTGGATATACCAACGATTTTTATGAGGTCGGTTAAAAAGCATATTACATTGACAGTTTATATGTTATTAGGTCTTTGCCTATGAAATTGCCGTTTTTCATGAAAAAAATGAAGCGTATTTTTTTCTATATTTTTTATTTCTATTAATCAAAGTATCACCCATGCAATCAATGCATCTTTGCCAACGTTATGGTCTGGTGAGTACAGCGGATGACGGAGAACTTCCAACCCCAGCTCTTGTAGCTTGGAGACCGTTTGCTGTGCAGTATGTCGTGTAAAAGCATTGGAGCCGAACGATTGACTGTTACTCATGAATTGCACAATCTATAGATATCGGTCATAAGTCTCCTCGCCATCGAATTGCATGTATGTACGTACTCATGCAACTCATGCTGCGATATTGCCTCAAATGTATGAGATCGGTTGAATGCGCGATCTTATTTCGATCTGTTTTCGATTTTCTGTTCAGTAAAATCGAGGAGCGATTCAGTTACCCAATCTTACTATCATCAAAATATATCAAATTTGACAAAATATATGGTAATATCCCTCCTATATAAATAAGTGAAAAGCTCGATGATGTAGTGTTTAGCGCGTTTGATCTTCGATTACGGAAGTTAAGCGACGATCACAAAGGCCAGTAATCGGATGGGTGGCCAATTTTTTTTGACGGAAAGGAACGGAATTTTTTTTGAAGTTTATTCTGGGCATTTTCGATTCATCCATTAATAATATTTGTGCTTCAGCATCACCAATCCTAATCCTAATCTTTAACGCGGACCCAGTAAGGAATGCTGGGTGGATTGGCTTAATAATGAAATAGTTTACGCGTTTGATCTGCGATTGTGGAGATTAAGCGACGTTTGCAAGGGCCGATAATCGGATAGGTGATCAAATTTTTACACACCCCGTTCCACCGAGGTCAGTAAATTAAATAAGATCATTCATCCCATTATTGACTTTTGCGTACATTGCTTCTATTTTGCAATCGCAGATCAAATGCATATATGCACTAACCAGTTAGAATACATAGGAGAAAAGAGAGCATAAACCCCACCACACTCCGCATCACCTCGCACTATCCCGCAACGCCCGCCTAACACCGCTTAATAAAAAAAAAATATATCACCTATCCCATTATTTACCTTTGCGAACATCGCATAATCTTCGCAATCGCACCACCCCGCCCTAACCCACAACTCAATATTGTATCTTACACTTAAATAATTAAAAAAAAAATCTGCGTAAACGCCTGTCCTGCTCCACTCAGCTCAGCCAAACAGAATAAAAGATCACGCATCTGATTACCGGCCTTTGCGAACGTCGCTTAATCTTCACAAATGCAGTTCAAACGAGCTTACCAATAGGGATGATGACTGGGTAAAAAAATGCAATTCTATTTAGTCCGTCAGTCAGATAATAGGAAAATATTAGAGACGTATTTCTTTTACTTCAAATTAACAAGAAAAAGCTTAGATAACAGGCATTAAAGTTGAGGAGTGGGGGCTCGCTACGTCACAGTTGAGTAGAAAACGTACCATAACGTGACGTCATGCGAAATTTCAACACAATGTAACGCCGTAATTTTATGATTACGAAAAAAATACATGTTTAATATTTTTTAACACTCTACCTGACGGACAAACAAACAAAAATTAGTCATCATCCCTATTGTACGCGTGCACACGAAACGTAAACAAACACACTTTGTAAGTACTTCATAAATAAAAATATATTGAATTTAGAAAATGTTGTTTGATACACGGATCTCCAATAAATATTTCAAATTGCATTGCACTCCTTTGGTACGTAGGTAGAGTCTGGCAAGCGAAACGTGTCACAAGAAAAGGGCGGCAATTTCAAAAATTCTTAAGCAGTAAACACTGAATGTAGTACTGCAAAATAATTTTGATACTTTTATTAATTATATTTAATCTTAACATTTAGATATCAATTAAAATTATTTGTTTTGGAACATTTGACTAAAGCGTGACTGTTCTTAATTGTACAGTTAACAGCATATCAGTAGGCCTATTCACTAACTCAACTGACAACCAAGAATCGTCATCACCGTAAAAAATAGACACTTTGATTGTGTCAAAATCACTATTTCGTATTCTCTATCAATGATGAGCAATTTCGAAATGTCAATATCGGCATTCTCCACTGGACTCCATTTTGACACTTGATTTCGTATCGATAAACTGTATTAAAGTAACATTGTTGCAAAGCATATTTGAAGTCGTCGCATAGTACCTCTTAAGCCAT